AAATATCTGGGTTTTTCAATATGTTGTTCTACCTTTTCCCTTTTTCTAACTGTAGAAGAATTCTTGATGAGCTGTATTTTCCACTTAACATACTTAATATTGAAGTTTTTCTTCAATATAACTTTTCTTAGGACTGCTATAAGATAGTCCATGGAAGGAAGAGGCATTAGAGGATGATCTCGTAAATCTTTAAAGGACCCACTTTAGAGATCTCACATGAAGATTTTAAGTCACCTTTTTAGGACTTAGTTAAGATATTTAAATTTAGTCACTGGACCAGGGCTTGTGGTGGGGTTGTGCAGAGAGCCAGAACACACAGTTGTGGTTGATTGGTTGAATATTGCTGGCTCCAACCTGAGGCAATCTGCACTGTGATTGGGAAGAAGGATTTTCCCTTTTCCCTCTGCCTTTTTTTCCTGTGGTGCCCTGTACACTCTGTAATTTACCTCATGATCCTCCTGTTTGCCTGACTATCTTGTTTGATGTATATATAGATATAAAATATACTTATTTATATAGAACTTAAGTTTGTGTCAGCCTCTCTAATTCCATAGGGACACCTGCTGCCCAATTCCCTGGCATAGAGCTCTGATAACATGAAGCAGTGAAAATCTGCAAATATTTAGAAAATCCACAAGGATATGATTATCTCTTCACAGAATGGTAGCTGGATGAAAGAGCTACCAATTCAATATGTTGTCCCCAGCACTGTCTAAACAGCTGCCTCTGAGAAAAATACAAAATAGTAACTTGGTTGCCCTTCTCTTCCTCCCTATTCTTAGGTATATCAATTACGAATCTTTGAATTCTAATTACTATAACCAACTGATAATTGATATCCACTCCCAACTTCTCTAGTTCCATGTAAAAGTCATCAAATCCCAGCACAAACACTACATCCTCTATCTGTGAATTTCATCAATTTCATTTTTTTTAAAAAAAATTAAAAGTAGCTCATCAAAAAATGAAAGGATGAGGAATGGAAAATGTCTCTGGTAGGCTCTAGCCATTTCTTGGGTTCAAATGATGAGCTAATATTTTGAACTATTTATAAAGTAGTTCAACAGCGAAAATGTCCCTAAGTACCAAGTTCAAAAAGGGCTTCTAACTAATACTTTGTGAATTGTAAATAAAGAAATCTATAGCAGAAGATATAATATCCTCTACAGACACAATTAAGGGAATTGCTTTAATGCACTTGAAACTTTTAATCTTCACAATCTTTGAAGTGGCTGCAAGGATTGCTTCTATTTAAAGTTTGAAGAGCCCATGCTATGCTAAAAGTTTTACAATGATGTAAAGCATTAAAATAAATAATCTTAATTTGGTCAGATCTATATTCATTAACTGTATTACCTAGCAAGGGAATAAAAATACAAAGTTTTAATTCTACTAATGTATTTCAGTTATGCATTAGCTGGGCACTATAGTAATTAAGGATATTGTTGAACAACATTCACTGACTCTTCACTAAAGCCAAATTTTCACTGTTATTCACTGTGAGTTTCTCTATCCTTCTTCCCCCCCCCCCCCCCCCCCCCCCCCCCCGGGCCCCCCCCCCCCCCCCGGGCTCTCTGTGTGTGTATACAATCCAAACTAAATCCTAGGAACTGAACTTAATGGAATTAAATTCTGACAAATATGTAATGATGATGTTGGTGGTGTCTTTAAACATTTAGTTCAATGGTGGATTCCAGATCCCGTTGCAACCAGTACAGTGAAATGGGGCCGGGCGCCCACCACATGAACGTGTAAAGCATATGTGCACACGTGCGCAGGTCGTACATGCATATTTACTGCCCGCAATTCCTCAGCTGCTCAGCAGAGCATCACATAGGTGTCGTGCACTCTGTGCGCCTGCACGGAAGCCCCAAAAGTTTCAAATACCAGTAAGGAGCGTGGGCCCTCTGGAGCACCGTACCAGAACGGTACCTGGTGCCCCCGGCAGGCACCGGTTGTAACCCACCACTGATTTAATTGGCTTTTAGTACTAATGCAATGTTCAGACAATAATGATGTACGCATAAATGTAACAAAACTCAATATGAAAATTATCTCCTGAACTTAAAATTGCAGGGAGAAGTTAAATAGTAAACAGTACAATATGGCACAAAATAATCTCAATTTACATAACAAATGGACTGAAGGATCCCTTCTGTCAGATAATGTGTCCAACAACACATATACCTGAATGTCTAGGACAGTGATGGTGAACCTTTTTTGGCTTCCATGCCAAAAGCGGGGGGAGTGGGGGGGGTGTCGTGTGCCAGCATGCCATACCCATAATGCTATGCACATGACCCCCCACTGTGTGCATGTATGCGCAACCAGGAACACTTCCCCCCCCATTTTTGGCACGGTTTTTTCGCCCTCCCCAGGCTCCAGAGGCTTTCTAAGAGCCTGGGAAAGGCAAAAACAACCTCCTTCCCACCCCCCAGACGTCCTCCAGAGGCCTCAGGAGTTTCCCTGAAGGCTCTAGAGGGCAAAAAATCTGGAAGTTCGGGAGGCTTCCCTGAAGGCTCCAGAGGGTGAAAAATGGCCCTATGGCCAAACTGGAAGTCTATTCCTGAACTTCCTGTTTGCCCATAGGGCCAGTTTTTCATGCATAGGAGGCTTCAAGGAAGCCTCCGGAGGACAAAAACAGCCTCAAAAGAAGGCCAAAGTCAGCTAGCCAGCACATATACCAAGAAAGGAAGGATGCAATGACAAATATCTGCCCCTTCTCACTTCTAAAGATTGATGTATGAGTGCTCACGAAGTCCCGTTCCTGCTTGATATGTCTAACATATTGTCAGTCAAGTGATTCAGGTATTACACTTGGCTATTGAGACCACTATAAAGGTAAAGGTTTCCCTCGCACCTATGTGCTAGTCATTCCCAACTATAGGAGACGGTGCTCACCTCTGTTTCAAAGCTGAAGAGCCAGCGTTGTCCAAAGAAATCTCCATGGTCATGTGGCTGGCATGACTAAACACCAAAGGCACACGGATCGCTGTTACCTTCCCACCAAAGGTGGTTCCTATTTTTCTACTTGCATTTTTACATGCTTTCAAACTGCTAGGTTAGCAGAAGCTGGGACAAGTAATGGGAACTCACTCCATTACGCAGCGCTAGGGATTCGAACCACTGAACTGCTGACCTTTTTGATCAACAAGCTCAGCATCTTAGCCACTGAGCCACCATGTCCCTCAATATAGTGGTCTCACTATATTCTGACCTAGATTCAACTTCTGTGGAATGAATTGCTTCCCTCAATTAACCCCATTTCTTGAAACTACTTCCTTGAAACACTTTATAATATTCAAAGATCAAAACTATCAAGTCAGGAATTTATATCCAACCATGCTTTGAAATCAATAATGCCAACTAATGATTTCATAGTATTTTTGTCCATCAGGACTCCTCGGGGATGGGATTCAGTCTACCTAAGGATAATTTAGGAAAAAATATTTGGCTTCTAATTAGAAATCCCATTCTCTTTTATGAAATGGAAGAGCTTCCTAATTTATTATTATACATTCCACTCATAATGTGGAAAGGTGAACTGAAGGTGGAAGGTTACAGGGGAAGTATTTCCCCATATGGCTTAATCATTTTACTATGGAAGAAAGTACAATTCAGTTAAGCAGGGTCGGCAAGTGGTTTGTCCCAAAGCAAGCAAATAAGTATTATTAAATGTCTGAATACTTTCTACTTTTGAAAAGAGAAAGAGGGAAAAGAAGCCTTCAGGATCAGGATTTTTAAGCATGGTTATGTTTTTCATGTTCAAAACCTCATCACCCTCTCCAGTACTTTATTCCAGTCTGTTCTCATTAAGAATTTGTTTCCATTGTTCATGCCCTGTTACACAATTTCAGTTTAATTAATTATCCCGCTGATATGAAATCACCAAAGAATTCTTTCTTTCTAGGTACATGCAAACTCATTAACATCAAATATAATAGATTTTTTTTAAACCACTATAGAAAAATACTTAAAGAAAAAGGCATTCAGTTGTGGAATGAAATTCTGACTTGTTTTATCATTTCTATCTCAAAAGTAATGTAACTTTCTTGAAAATAAATGTCTTGTTTAAAATTTTGGGTTAGAACACTAAAAGGCATAACTGTATTGGAAATGTATTCAAATATGTAAATGGAATACATATTCTAGAAGATCACCAGTAAGACTTCTGATTCAACTTGCTTTCAAAAACAAACGCGTAATTTAATGACAAAAGAAAAAGAAAATAATAACTGTAAGAATAGCTTTAGAATCTTCAGCTTAAGTAACTAACATGAGACTAAGAAATACTATATGGGTTTTACTTCCACACAAAATGAACAAAAATGCAGAAAAATGTTAAAATGTTTTTAAGGAACCAGCAAAGGAACCAGCAATGACCCAGGCCTGCCACATCCCCCCAAAACAATTTTCCAGTGGTGCCATAGACGCTACCATCTTGTTTTTCGCTTCTAGGCATGCGCAGAACAATTTTTATTGCACTGTGCATGCGTACGCAGCACGCCCATGAGTGAACTGGCAGTAGTGCCGGCTGGTACCCACCCCGTATTGGATACGATGGCTCAGTGGCTAAGACGCTGAGTTTGTTGATCAAAAAGGTTGGCAGTTCAGCAGTTTAAATCCCTAGCATCGTGTAATGGAGTTCGAGTTCGAAAGCACGTAAAAAAATGCAAGTAGAAAAATAGGGACCAACTTTGGTGGGAAAGGAACAGTATTCCATGTGCCTTCAGCATTTAGTTATGCTGGCCACATGACCACGGAGACGTCTTTGGACAGCGCTGGCTCTTCAGCTATGAAATGGAGATGAGCACCGCACCCTTTAGTCGGGAATCACTAGCACATATGTGCAAGGGGAACGTTTACCTTTACTTAATGGAAACTAAAATTCATAACTTCCCAGGGTCCACTAAATTGCCTACCTCTATATGCCTGTATGATTGTGAATATATATAAAATTAATATTTCATATTAGATTATCATAAACAGATATATGTTACCTGTTCTTGTCTCTCCAGCCATTTATCTACCATGGGATGAGTAGCACTTAATGAAGATCGAGCATTATCCCGCTGAAATTGGTTAGAAGACCAGGTACTGGTGTCCCGAGGGAGACTTCTGTAATTTTCATCTTTCTGTTTTAAAACAAAGGGAGGAAACTCCTATGATATAAAGCCAAAGCAAAAAACACTGTCTAAGAATAACAACCTTAGAGCAAGACTAGAAAAGATAGCTCTCCAAGACTGACTGGTCAATAAACAATTGGAATATTTCCACTGGAAATCTTCTGTAGAACTTCAAAGAACTCCTACAGAGAGTTGTAGGAGTTGACTTACAACTACAATCAGAACCAGAATTTCTATTCCTAAGCAGGACCGTTATTTGTTGAATTGTGCCTCATTTTATGACCTTTTTGGTTAAGCAAATAACTGCAGTTGTTAAGTGAATCACATGCTCAGTAAGTAAATATGTTTTCCTCCCTTGGCTATCCTTATTGGAAGCTGTCTGAGATGATTGCACATGGCCATTTGATAATCCCAGGATGCTGAAACCATCATAAATATACTCCAGTTGCCAAGAACCTGAATTCTGAACACAAGACCATATGACGAGTCACTTTTTTATGCTATTGTAACTTCAAACAGTTGTTAAATGAATAGTTGCAAGTAGAGGACTACTTAAAGAATACTCCCAAACTCACTGTTACATCAGGACCAACCAAAGATGAATCCAGTTAATTAAGCAGTCAAGCAAGGAATGTGTGCTTCTCGATGGTTAGGATTCTGGGTTGGGGGTTAGCTAACCCACATTCAACACCCAAGTACTGCTGTGTGGTGGGGTGACCTCCTATCATTTATTTATTTATTTTATTTATTTATTAATTAGACTTATATACCGCTTCATAGGGCTTTCAGCCCTCTCTAAGCGGTTTACAGATTTTTTTAGCAAATTGAGTCAGCAACTTGCCCCCACAGTCCTCATTTCACCCACCTTGGAAGGATAGAAGGCTGAGTCGACCTTGGGCCGGTGAGGTTTGAACCGCTGAACTGCAGAACAGAGTCAGCTGAAGTGGCCTGCAGTACTGTACCCTAACCACTGCGCCACCTCGGCTCAATTCTCTCCAGCTCCTTGACAGGTATATGTAGGGAGCACCCGCAAATGTGCCCTGGGCATAGGTGATGTCACCAGCTAATCCTTTCAACCTGGAAGTGTGTTAAACATTTCCTCCAACATGAATGGGACAGGATTTGGCTTATTTAGTAAATATCTCAGGTACAGCATTCTAAACCTGTTTCTCTTTGGAATCAAATGCAGCGGAATACATTAAGAAAACAGTATTTATGTTCCACCTGATATCTATAAATTTCTGTTTGCCATTATAAACTCAAGATGCGCCCATGTGCTCCCATCTGTCTATCAAAATAAAACAGAATTAAACTTTTAAAATGTTAAAATGTAACTAGGGGGTACAACAGGCACTGAAGACACCCCATAAATTTATCTTTATGCTATTAACATATACATCCAAAAGCCTTTGGTAAAAGGCAGCCGGTCAGATACATACCTCCTCTTTATGCCAGAAATGTATTTGCAATTATTAAAAGCCAGAAACAATTATTAAATTAATTGAAATGGTGCAAAGGTAAGATAAAATCAAAGTCAAGACAAGCAATATAAATTAATGTGAATGAAACTCACTCCAAAGCCTTAATTTACTGATGTGAACTTATATGACAACTTTTGAGTGAGCTGATAATGATCCTTGAAAACAAGTCAGAAAGATAATGAAGAGTTAATTCCCAATTCTATATTGACTGATAATTATAATTTCCTGTGTGTACTTTTGGAACAGGATTGCCTGAATAATCCTGGATCATCTTTCAATTTCCATTAAATTATCTCTCTCGGAAGATGTGTATATTCTTCTGCAAACTACCAAGCTTATACGTCTATTTCAAATGCATAATCTTATCTTACTCCTGGTTTACTACAGAACCACTGTTTATTTATTAGATTTTTATCCCACCTTTGTTATTTTTACAGAGAAGGCCTATTTTATCCTCTTATTATGGATTACAAACTAAAAGTAAAATTTAAATCTTAAATAAAATAAAACTTAAAATATGCCTGGTTCTCACACAAATGGAAATCTTGCCCCTACCCAAGTAACTATTTGCATAAAAAAGAAGAACTTCTAGTCATCTAGTTAATCTAACATGTATTATCATAGTCCAGAATCAAGGACTCTGTGAAGTAGAGAAAAAATATAAACTTTAAATGTAAATAAAATGTATATTTTTATATCAAATTTCTCAAAAGTATACATTATGACAAATGGCCATTATGTAACCTTGAGTATCTGATAGAGAAAATATCATAGAGAGCTTACAAGGATCATGCAGAATAAAAAATATTAAAATATTTAATAGGCTTGGGAAGTCACTATTCTTTGTCAAGCATTATTAAACCTGGAAACAGGGAAGTAAATTAAAATGGCAAAGAGGTCAATTATCATAATAGCCCTCTGTGAAAAGCTGACATCTGTCCAGGGCTCAGAATCAGATAACCAAGTTATCTGATTAATAAATTTAATCAGTAGAAACAGTTCAGGAATTCAAATAGGTATACCATAAAGCTCTTAACTATAAAAAGCTACTAATATCAGTATGCATCAGCTATAGTGTGCTGCCAAAAACAAGGTTTTAACACCTCTGTATTTGAGGTATCTAGCCACCTAAGACTACTGAGTCAGCAGATCTACTTGGGAATGAAATGGAGAGTAGACAGTCATTTCTTGCCCTACCTCCCACATAATCACTGGTTTTGTTCATTGGGGTTCACATGGAGGTGAATCTATCATTATTTTTTGAAACTACAGAGTCACTAAGAGTGAGTGGGTGGCCAAATTTGGATGGATGGATGGATGGATGGATGGATGGATGGATGGATGGATGGATGGACGGACAGCAAAATTCACTTAGAAAATGTCTCGCTTAGCAACAGAAACTTTGAGGTCAATTGTGGTCATAAGTCAAGGACTGCCTGTATTTCAATAATATTCACAGATAAGTGAGAGAAAATTGTTTCTATTTGTGAGATTTATCCCGCTTTATAGTAAAAAAAAACAAAAAAAAAAACCACCCCAATATTCTTGTGGTAGATTTTTGCCTATTAAGATATCACCTTAAAGTCACAGGGAAACTAAATTCTCCCTGGAATCATATTATACTTTTAATGACCTAATGGACACGCCCATGCATATTTTTTGGAGTCAATATGTAAGTGAATTGCAATTGGCTTCTTTTAAGATATCCCCCTTCCCCCTCTTGTTAACCTTCCAGAACTTCAATATATTTGCAGAATTTTGCCAGATACATATACAAGAAACCAAACATTGGACTGTTCTCCATTGAATATAATGGTCATTAAACTATCTAACTTAAACTTTTCTCTGTATTAGCATGTTAATGCACATTTCTGCACTTAAAACAAATAGTCAATTGTGTTAAAAATCCCATTACACCCTTGAAATTTTGTATATTCAGAAACAAATGCTGGAGTTGTTGGATCCGATACAGTGCTCAATATAATTTAATAATCGGGAAAACATTGTTGATATTTATCAAAGTAATAATGGCACAATGGATTATAATTGAAGTAGATTTCTGGGAGGGAAGAAAAGTAATCCATATGGTTTATTTAAAGGAGTTGTCTATAACACCTGCCATAATGCACCTACTTTACTTTCAGTTTTTAATTGTTTCCATCTCCTAATCACATTTTGATCACTTTATATCAATATATATGTCCTAGTATCAGTGGTGGGTTGCAGGAGGTACATCCCAGTACGAGTGGACCGGAGCTTGCCCGGAGCACCAGGTACTGTTCCGGTACAGTGCTCAGGAGGGCCCACTCACCCGCCCTTGCTCCTTACCTGTCGTTTAAAGCCTTTGGCGCTTCCATGCACGCGCATAGCACATACAGCGCCTGTGTGACACTCCGCCGAACATCTGGAGCATCACAGAGGCATCGCTGGAAGGTAAGACGCAGGCACGCGCTGTCCGTGTGTGCGCGTGGGGCGCACGGGTTCATGTGGAGGATGCTGGGCTCTGTTGCAACCGTACTGGTTGGAACAGGATCCGGAACCCACCACTGCTTAGTATATTATCTTGGTTTTGTCATCTTTCTTTCAAGGTCTCTCTCTAGGTTACTTTTTATTCCTATAGCAAATTGTAAATATATCAACTATGGTGAATTTGTACCTTCACTGAACAATTCCTACTGTGCTCTTAATCTCTTTTCTGAGTTCAGATACACTGAACTGACATATGTGATTAAATCTCCCTTATTATAGTTGTCCTTAGAGTAAAAAATATGTGACAGTCAAGTTAATAGTGAAGTTGCTGACTTTAAAAACTTGGGTTTTTTTAAAGGTACCATATTTTTTATAAAACTTTGTCTTACAATGTTTCCGTTTAATTCATTGGGGGGGAGTTTCCCCCCATAACTACCTATCATCAGCTAAGCTTTCTATAATGGATATTCATTATTTGTGGCTTTGATCAGTTCTATTATCAACAAGAAACAGCTTGCATGATATAATTCAAATTAGGAACTGCAAATCCACTTCTTTCTGGTATCTTGCAAAAAAATTGAATTTTACTCTTGATTTCCCCCCCCCCCCCAGTCTTTCTGTCTATATATGAAGTTATTGTTCTTTGAAGAATCTTGAATGGTTTTGTTGGAATATAGAATAAGTTCCATTTTAAATAAAAAAAACATATTAGATAATATATTCATATATGTTGTTGCAATGAGGCTTAGCAAAGAAAAATGTTAGTTTCTTCCATTTCTCTAAGTCCTTTTATTGTTATCCCACCTTTATTGTTTTTAGAAGTAACCCAAGGCCAAAACATCTTCCTCTTCTTATTTTCCTCACAACAATAATCCTGTGAGGTGGGTTTGGCTGAAAGGGAGCAACTAGCTCAAAGTGACATAGCTGGCCCCATGCTTATACATTAAAACATTACAATAGCAGAGTTGGAAAGGACCTTGGAGGTCTTCTAGTCCAACCCCCTGCCGAGGCAGGAAACTCTATACCGTTTCAGACAAATGGCTATCCAACATTTTCTTT